TTCATCAATAAGCACTTCAAGTCATCCTCACTTTCAGCAAGCAAAGTTGTGTTGTCAGCGTATTGCAAGTTAATGATTCTTCTTCTATTCCTGATGCCATGTTCTTCTTCATATAGTCCAGCTTCTCAGATTATTTGCTCAGCATACAGATTGAATAAGTATGGTGAAAGGATACAATCCTGATAGACTCCCTTCTTGATTTTAAGCCATGCAGTGTCCCCTTGCTCTGTTTGAATTACAGCCTCCTGGTCTATGTACAAGTTCCTTATGAGTACAGTTAAGTGTTTTGGAATTCCTGCTCTTCTCAATGTTACCCATAATTTGTTATGATCCACACAATCGAATGCTTTTGCATAGTCAATAAAGCACAAGTAAACATCCTTCTGGTGTTCTTTGCTTTCAGCCAGGATCCATCTGACATCAACAATGATATACCTCATTCCACGTACTCTTCTGAAACCAGCTTGAATTTCTGGAAGTTTTCTGTCAATATACTGCTGCAGCTGTTTTTGAATTATCTTCAATAGGATTTTACTTGCACGCGATGTTAATGATATTATTGTTTGATAATTTCCACATTCTGTGGGATCACCTTCCTTTGAAATGGGTGTAAATATGGATCTCTTCCAGTCAGTTGGCCAGATAGCTGTCTTCCTAATGTCTTGGCGTAGCCAAATGAGTGCCTCCAGCGTAGCATTTGTTTGCTGAAACATCTCAATGGATATTCCCGTCAATTCCTGGAGCCTCGTTTTTTGCCAGTTCAGTACCTTGGTTCTTGATCATATGCCACCTCCTGAAATGGATGAACATTGACCAATTCTTTTTGGTACAGTGGCTCTGTGTATTCCTTCTATCTTCTTTTGATGTTTCCTGCATCATTCAATATTTTGTCCATAGAATCTTTCAATATTGCAACTCAAGGCTTGAATTTTTTCTTCAGTTCTTTCAGCTTGTGAAATGTCAAATGTGTTCTTCTCTTTTGATTTTCTAACTCTAGGTCTTTGCACATTTCATTATAATAATTGACTTTCTCTTCTCAAGCTGCTCTTTGAAATTTTCTGTTCAGCTCTTTTATCTTGTCATTTCTTCCATTTGCTTTAGCTACTCTCTGTTCAAGGGCAAGTATCAGAGTCTCCTCTGACATCCATTTTGGTCTTTTCTTCCTTTCCTGTCTTTTTCATGACCTTTTGCTTCTTCATGGATGATGTTCTTGATGTCATCCCACAGTTTCTCTGGTTTTCGGTCACTGGTGTTCAATGCATCAAATCTGTTTTTCAGATGGTCTCTAAATGCAGGAAGGATATCTTCAAGGTCATGTTTTGGCTCTTGTGGACTTGTTTAATTATCTTCAACTTGAACTTGCATCTGAGCAGTTGATGGTCTGTTCCACAGTCAGCTCCTAGCCTTGTTTTGGTTGAAGATATGAGCTTTTCCATCGCCTCTTGCCACAGATGTAGTCGGTCTGCTTCCTGTATACTGCATCTAGTGAAGTCTACTTGTGTAGCTGCTGTTTGTGTTGTTGAAAAATTGTATTTGCAATGAATAAAGTCGTTGGTCTTGTAAAATTCTGTCATGTAAAATTCTATCATTCTATCATTTATCACCAAGGCCAAATTTCCAACTACCAGTGATTCTTATTTGTTTCCAAGTTTTGCATTCCAGTCACTAGTGATCTTGATTGCATGTTTGGTCAATCTCAGACCATGGATATTGATAAAAATCTTCAATTTCCTCATGTTTGGCTTTGGTCATTGGTGTGTATATTTGAATAATAGTAGTATTAACTGTTCTTCCTGGTAGGCATATGAATATTATCCTGTCACTGACAGTGTTTTACTTCAGGACATATCTTGAAACTTCCTTTGTGATTACGAATGCCTCACCATCCCTCTTCAATTTGTCATTCCCAGTGTAGTAAATCATATGGTTGTCTGATTCAAAATGGCCCAAACTGGTCCATTTCAGCTCACTAATGCCTAGGATATCAATCTTTATGCATTCTATTTCATTTTTGACAACTTCCCATTTTCCTAGAGTCATACTTCGTACATTCCATGTTCTAACTATGAATGGATGTTTGCAGCTGTTTCTCCTCAGTTTAAGTCATGCCACATCAGCAAATGGAGTTCCTGAAAGCTTTACTTAATCCATATCATTAAGGTTGTATTCTGGTTACCTAGTGCCGTTCTAACAAGAAATATACTACAAATGGGATGGCCTTAACAAACAAGAGTTTATTCTTACAATTTGGAGGCTTTAAGTCCAGGTTCAAAGTGCCAGACTCTAGGGGCTGGGTAAAAACATGTCAACCTTGGGGTCCGGCTCTGCGTCCTGCTCCTGGCCCGCTGGAGCTAGAGGTGTTTTTTTCTCTCAGACAGCTGCTGGCTGCTGAGACTGAGAAGCCCCAAGGTTGATAAGTAAAAAGGCACAGTCCTAATGTTACCAACCCACATGGCAAGCCATTAATTTAAGTCCATTGTAAGTCCCAAGGTTGGCAGGGCATAGTAGGCTGCTGAGCAATGACATGGCTACATGCAGGGTCCAAGCATGCCATAGGCTAGAGACTGTTCCCAAAGCTTCTACTTATATACAGGAAGTAGACCACATCCCAAAGGCATGTATTCAGCTGCTTGTGGTAGATCCCACTATGGAGTTAATTGCCAGTCTCATCATGGGAAATAACTACCACCAGCTGCCCAGTCACTCAACCAGGCCCAGCCGAGTTGACACACAAACGTAACTACCACAGGTTGGTGCTACTCTGAGGAGGCAGCTCTTTCCCAGTCGTATTTTGAGTGCTTTCCGACGTAAGGAGCTCATATTCTGGCACTGTATCAGACAGTGTTCCTGGGCTTTTTGTAAAGTTTCCAGTAAAGTATCAGACAGTGTTTCTCTGCTATTCATAAGGTTTTCTCTGCTCAATTCTTTGAGAAGTGGACAACCTCTTCCTTCTTCTGAGTCTTTTCTAATCTGGAAGCTGCACTGAAACCTGTGCACCATGTGCAACCTTGCTGGCGTTTGAAACACTGGTGGCATGCCTCCAGCCTCATAGCAACACACAGGCCACCACAGTATGACAAGCTGACAGACCCGTTGGTCTCCCTTAGCTGTTTGAAACCTTTTCACTCTCCCCTTACCTGGATCTTGCCACCCTCGGTCCTGGCTTCCTGCCTCCTGCCTTGGGCAGGGGCCCTCTCCTTCCCCTTGTCTGGATCCTGCTGTTGTTGGCCCTAGCTTTTCCTGCCTTCCTGCTTTGGGTGGGGGCCTTCTCTCTCCCCTTACCTAGATAAACTCTTTTTAAATCTGATTTCTTTGACTCAACAAAATTATTTTAATACATATACATGTGGTTGCATGTCCAATGATTCATTCCTTTTATTGTCAAGTACTCTTACATTAGATGAATATACTATAGTTTGGGACTATTACAAATAAAGCTGCTTTGCATATTTGTGTACAAGCCTTCCTGTGGGCATATGCTTTCATGTTTCTTTTGGATAAGTACTTAGGAGTGAAACTGTTAGAAGATACTATAGGTATTAAGAAACTGCCAGTTGTTTCCAAAGTGGTTGATCATTTATGTTCAGATCAGCAATGTAAGAGAATTCATCTCTTCCACACCATCCTCAACATATGTATGGTTGTTCTTCATTATAGGCATTCTGGTACACGTATGGTGGTATTTCATTATGGTTTTAAGTTGTATTTCCCTAATGACTAATGATGTTGAATATCTTTTCATATGCTTATTTGAAATCTGTATATCTTCTTTGGTATGCCTTCTGCACATTGTTTAATTGGGTAATTTGTTATTAGTGTTATGTATTCTTTATGTATTTTGGATACATGCCATTTATCAGATACATGATTTACAAATATTTCCTCCCCATTTGTGGGTTGCCTTTTTCATTCTCTTGATAGTGATTTTTGAAGAGCAGACATTATTTTGATGAGATCTAATTTTTCCTTTTATGGTTTGTTGTCTTACTTTTGTCTTATCACCAAATCTTTGCCTGGCAAAATCTTGCAAATGTCTTCAAGATATTTCTTTCTTTTCTGTTTTAAATTTACTTTTATTGTGGTTAAAACATATACACCAAGACATTCACCAATATAATAATTTCCACATTACAACTCAGGGACATTGATGACATCTTTTATTTTATGCCACCATTATTGCTGTCCTTTCCCAAAATACTCCATCACCATAAATATAAAACTCAATACCCTGTAAACAAAACCTTCCCTTTGCCCCTTCCTTCCTATCCCTGGTAACCACTAATCTTTGATGTATATACATGTTCTTGTTGTTGTTATGTGCCATCAAGTCGGACCTGACTCATAGCGACTCCTCCTTGGGTTTCCGAGGTGGTATCACTGCTGAGG